AGCTTCATTCATTGATTTTATTCAGAAACATTAAGAAAGTGTAGCAAGCTGAAACGACACAGTGACATGTGCAGGTGTTAAATGTGAGGAGAAAGAAAGTGCTCGTGTTATATTGAGTGACTGAGGTGAGAGAGAAACATTAAAATATCTCATGTCAACATTTGTGGCTTAAATCTCGACAATCACTTTGCAAAGTTAAGAATCTTGACGATTCTTGGGATGACAGACTTTTTAAATACACGTTTAGTTGCCAGAGAGACTCTGTAGCATAAGAGACACACACACACACACACACACACACACACACACACACACATCTTCGAAGTGTCATGTGATTTACAAGAAACCAGAGAAAGAGGTGAGCTGATGTGAACGTGGGAGTGTGAGGTCTCATGTCGTCCATCTTTGTTTGACACCGCAGCACCTCAGATACAGCAGTTCAACTTTGCGTGTCTGTGACTTGAAGGAGGGTCAGATGTTTTTCTGCTCCCTGTTTGTGTGAAATAACCATCATCTTATTTTGTCTTAGCTCTGTGTTGATGAAAAAAAGCATTGTGGTGAGAAGACATCGCCATTTTTTTCCTCTACCGAGGGGTTTTTGTTTGTTGGTCAGCAAGATTACACAAAAACAACTGAAGGGGAAGAGCCCAGGACATTTTATTGCACTGATCTGCAATAAATCAAGGAAGTTGTTTTGTCTTTTTTTAACATTGTGAGAAATATTTTCACCACTTTGCAGGGAAGAATCCTGAAACTCAAATTGCACATTTGAGGGAACATCTGAGTGCATCAATCAATCGATTAAATTTTTGTTTATATATAGCTCATATTCACAAATCACAATTTGGCTTAACGAGGTGCGACATCCTCTGTTCTTAACCCTCAAGAAGAGTAAAACTACCAACAAAAAGAAAAACAGGGGGAAGATCTTGGTGACTTCACAGAGATACAATAATGATCAGAAGAAACTGTTCGTTTCACCTTTCTATTTATTCTCGAAACACCGAAGCTGCAGACTGTGAGCTGCAGCCCCTGACGCTGCGGGACTTTTATGAAACTGCTCGACACTTGGGATAATAGAAATCTGCAGCACGTGTGAACCTGTGCTCCCAGATGTTGGTGCAGATGTAAACATGATCCTCTCAGTGCGCAGGTGAGGCACTGGAGCTGGGTGACGTCATGTGGGGCCCTGCAGGTTGAATGGCTCATCATCAACACACCTCGTCACAACCAAACACACACAACACAGACACACACACACACAACACAGAGGCAGACATCTTTACTTGCAGCCTCTCCTCGTTAAACCAAAACTTCTTCTCCGCCTCCTCTCATGACTGAAACCTCCGATGTTGGAGCTGTTAGCTTCCATGCTAACTCTACTGCGGATTACCATTCGATCCAGCGGGCTAGCTTATTCACGCCGCGGTTCGTTACCTGAACTGCGGCTCATTCTCTTCTCCCATCCGGACGGTAGCTTCTCCTCGTCTGCCATTATTATAACTTAATAATAATATCGATACTTCCCCGAGGCGACGCTTGTTAAGTTTAATTTCAATGTGGCCACCGTGAGGCAGGCCGGGGCAGCAGCTGAGGCGAGTTACGACACTCCGCCGCGGGTTTACGGTTTACGAGTTGTTTTCAGAAAACAGGCCCCCCCTCTACGGGGTGTTCTCTCTGTTCATAGGCTGATGGGAGCTGTCAATCGCGAGTGGGCTCGTTTAATTGGTCGACAGGCTGCTGCGTAAAACTGCAGCCGCTTTACGATAAACGGGACAGAGCGTCGCAGAGAAACATCGGCGACACAAGGATCTTAGTTTTTCTCTGCGTCTCAAGGTAAAAATCAAACATTAAATACACTATAACGATAAATAAGAGCTAATGCTAGGTGTTGTGAGTTTGCTTTACGTGCCTGCGTTTCTCTGTGCAGCATGCGACGCTGTGAGCTAATGCTAGCTAAACAAAACAACCTGCCTTTAAAGCCTGTGTTCCTTCAGCATTACGAGAACTTCTAACTTTGTCTACTGTTGAGTTGAATCAGTCGTCAGAGTGTTAGCGGCACTTAGCTCAAACCAAAACACTCCAACACAACATACCTACAGTATGTAGCATGTAGCCTGTCATGTTGTTGAACCACGTTGCTTTATGCTAACAGCTCTTCCTGTTATTTTGTCCATCACATTCAAATCAACGAGGGTGAACGACAGATTCAGCCCTTTGTCAAATACACTGCGTGATAATAAACATAGTTGTATAATAATGAATAAGGCGGGTTCATTTTTACAGCACATTTGAACAACGAGGTGTTTTATATAAAGATTATAAAGGATATAACAGTAGAAGTCAGTCCAAGCAAAAAGAAGCGTTTAAAGTTACGAGGAGATGGTAAAGAAAGTGAAAAAATACTGAGGTTTGTGTATTTAAATTGACTCATTCATTCTCTTTTCACGTGTCTGACAGGAACCGAAGATGATCGAGGTGGTCTGCAACGATCGTCTGGGCAAGAAAGTCCGGGTCAAGTGCAAGTATCCTTCACTGAAACTGTGCACGTGTAATGCTGTGCAGGAAACATAATGCCTCCAATCATGTGACTTGTGTTTGTGTAGATTTGGTAAATGAATCAAATCTACGAATCCCCGGCCTCAGTAACTGCTACATCGGTGGTGAGGCTCTGGTTTGGTAGCAATCGTCTCAGCTGTTGTTGGTTTCTCTCGTACGTAACTATAGCTGCAATAGAAATGTGCTGTTAATCATATTGATACATTTATCAAGGATAAATAAATCAATTCTCCAGTTGTTAGAAAATATCTCATGGGATGATTTCAGATAACATCCTGTTAACCCGGGTTAGTTAAACCACATTTAAAGAACATGGCTCCTTCTTTAACCTCCACGTGTCAGCTCTGAGGATACCATCGGAGATCTGAAGAAGCTCATTGCTGCCCAGACAGGAACACGGCACGACAAGATTGTTTTAAAGAAATGGTGAGCTCTCATCTCAGATTCATAACTCATGTATCTGTGGCTGTTTTCTATTTGCAGCTAAATATGTCTCTCCTGCTCCCACAGGTATACCATATTCAAGGATCACGTGTCTCTGGGCGACTGTATCCTTTCAACAATTATTTCTGCAGCTCTCAGTGTCTGTAACTGAGAACTGGTACTGTAGCAACAGTTTTTGTAAAAAAAATTTCCAGAGGCATCTGATAATGTTAAGCACCAGCAGTCAACAAATTGTGGACAGGGACTAGAATTACTCGGAGCACGTATCTATGCAAAGGTCAATAAGACATTTCTGTCTTATCAAAAATAAATGGAAGAAGAAATTAGGCTAATCTGTCCTTAACTGTAAAAAACCCATAGATCTATCCCTACCTCGGTTCAACACTTAGAAATGTTTTATTTTAACACTTACACAAAAAATAGGTTTGTATTTTTAGGCAGCATCTACACTCAGCAACCTGTTTCCATAAATATTTTATTCACCTGTTCTGATCTGATGCATTTGACATAGTACTGAATAATCTACAGCTCTTCTGTCCTGAGCCATTTTACTTAACTGACCTCTGCAGATGAAATTCATGATGGGATGAACCTGGAGCTGTACTACCAGTAGACTGAAGACCACAGGACAATGCTACACACGTCACAGAGACACAACATACACAGATATGAAGAGATGGATCCTGTTGCAGGAACCAGCATGATCAGACAACAGAAAAACAGAAGAGAATCTACATCGCAGAAACTTTTAATTTTGCTGATAAATTAGTATGTTTAATGTTTTGCAAATTCTTTTTTGATATCTTGGAAGTAAAGCTGATATTTACGTACCCACAGAGTGCTGATCATTTGTGTTGTGTCATGTGGAGAGACTGAAATACATCTTGTGCTTGCATGTGAACTTTAACTATACTCATGTTACCTTTGGTTTACATATATACGTAAAGTACATTACACTGGTCTCACTGTTAAGTTTTAGATTTCAAGGCTTTGTTTTCTCGAAGTACACAAAAGTATCAGTATACTTATTTTGTTTTGCTCCAAGATCCATGAATTATTCCCTGGGGAATTCTTAACGTTTCAAAAGTTTTTTTAGTTTTTTTTATCAAGAGGTATTTTCTTTTCTCTTCTTTTTGAACTTCTAATTGTAATGGAGTATTTTTACTCACAGATACCTTTACTTGAGTAAAAGTTGTAAATATTTTTCCACCACTGTTTGGTCTGGTGTTATGTTTTCATAGTCTTTAGACAGCTTTATTCAGACAGTTGCATATCTTCAGTTTTGTGGCAACAGTTTTGGGGAAGACTCTTTTCAGTCCAGTGGATCAAAGCTTAGCGAAGCGTTACACTGAATAAACTCAGAATCATAAAATAATGAGTTTCCTACATTCTCTTGGTAGAATTTGAATATGTGACGCCTTTGGGATGAAATGGAGCCTCAACCCAAATACTTGTTGATGCTCCTGTGTCGGGGGAGCAAACCCTGCAGGTGGAAAAGCAGAAGAATGGGGAAAAAAAAAAATCATCTGATCAACTGAAAAAAAAAAAAAAGTTTTATTCACATCACTAGATCAACAGCATCTCTCTCACATACACACATGGGTTAATGCAATTGATGGAAACCAGGTGTCACATCGACTGGATGTGGGTCCTGACAGCTCTGGATCCACGTCAGCAGTAGTCGGAGTAGTCCTCCTCCACGTAATTTGCTGGAAAGAGCCCCACCTGGAAACACAGGCACCATGCAGTTAAGAAAAATGAAATAAAAATAAAAAAACACCTCTGTGTGCAGATGTTTGCAGAATCCTCACCCGGCCGTACACTTCTCCTCTCCACCAACCGCTGTGACCTTTCTTGGACAGGATCTTGATCGTGTCTCCCTCGTGCAGCGACAGCTCCGAGCGGTCCCTGGCTGAGAAGTCGTACCTGGCCCTCGCTACGCCGAAACTCCGCACGCTGCCTCCTGTGAGACAGAGCCCACGTTACACCGTGGATGAGCTTTAATGAATAGTTTGACATCTTGGAAAATCTTTTAATTTTGGATTTAGCACCAACATAAGGTGTTTTTTTGCTCCATAACTTTAATATGTTTGATACTGAATACAGCGACACAATCCTTGGTGTGAAGTGACAGAGACGCACCGTACCTGGTGTGGTATTCGGTGTGCTGTCGGATGAGTTCATCTGCTCTGGTTGTTTGTAGGGCGTCCGCAGATTGGTGTCCACATCCTTAAAATACTCCTTCAGAGAGTTCTTCTGGTAAAACTGAACCAGCTCCTAACGAGGGAAGGAGAAATGAGGTTAATAGTGAATCTAGTGTCAATGTGCGTATAAGGTTTCTGAGTGCGTGACGGTGTTCACACTCACAATCAAACCCTTGAATGCTTTCTTGTCATTGATGCGGTACAGGCCTTCAACAGACGTGATCTTAATGTGTCTGATGTCCATGTTGAACCTGGGGGAGCAGAGAGAGAGAGAGTAATGACAGTAAAGGGAACGTTCACACAAAAGTCAGACATGATGCAGTCTTTACTCTTGACAGTTGAACAATGATGGTGCTGCTCTCAAAGGTGGAAAACAGATGTTTCCACTTCTGCAATTAACAGGTGCTGAATGACAAAGGCTGAACAGAACATGAACTAAATACAATCAAGTCAAAATCTCAATGAAAAGAAATGAAACTTGAGCTCAAAGATATCCAGTAATTTATCTTAGACCGTGGTGCAACGTAGAAGACAAACATCTGTTAATATCAAAGTTACTATCGGGGTCAGTTTAGCTGAAGGGTCGATGGTTACAAATAACAAAGAGACACAAAGAATTACATAAACAGACGTGAACAGTTTTAAATCGTTTACATAACTGTGACATTTAAAAACATGGACAGAGGCACTAAAGTACAAATCATTAATAAAACAGTAGAAGCAAAGGCACATAAACTCTAAAACAAATACACAACACATAAAACCAAGATATATGTCAATCACAGTATCACAAAATCAATAATGAATAACAATAGGCAATATTAATAGTTTATACCAGGAAGTGGGGGGAGTCACGGTAAAAATAGAAAGTGAAAGCATTCAATAAAAAGAAACAGTTCTGGTTTGTGGATGTAAATCTCCTGAAGTGAAACTGCTTTTTATTGTTGAACTAATGGACACTTACTTGATGCTGATGGCGAACTCTCCTCCGTCTTTCTGCCGCACGAGGAAGGTTCCGTCAGAGCGGGACATCAGCAGTTGTTTGGCAGCGGTCCTGTCCATGTTCCCAGCAAACCTTGATTCACAGTCAGGAGCAGGACATTATTCTGGTGCTTAAATAACTTTTGAATCATTTTACATCTTAGAAGGAACATTGTATTCATCAGAAATAAAACTGCTACCGTTACACGAATGTGGCAGCTCACATTATCCAGGAAGTGTCACCTGTGTGAGTTTTGTTTTAAAGTTCATATTAGATGTTTCTGTTGAATATTTATAAGCTGCATACAACACTTAAAAATTGCTGACAGGAAACTATATAGTATTTGACTGTAGGTATAAGACGTTTCTAGAGTCAGCCTCAGGAGCAGTTGCTGGTGTTGACAAATGCAATAACAATCTGTTATATCTGCATACAACTACATTATGGTGTGTATTTAAAACGAACATGTATTGATATCTGTGCCGTCGATGTGCTGCTTTGTGTTTTCTTCTTTTCAGTGCGATGGGCCGTACTTGATATGACCACCAGATGGTGCTAAAGTCAGACATTTTAAAGCCCTACACAGTGACTTTAAAGAAAATACCTGTTTTCACTTTGTGTTCTTGATTTTGCACAACACACGTAGTCGACTGATAACTACAGGATATTTGACACACGGACAATAAGAGTGTGGAGAGCGTCTTTAAAAGCACCAGTGCTTTTCAGTGTCTGCTTCTGTGTTGTGTTTTCTAACTCTGACCGACAGTGAACTCAAAAAAAAAACAACCTCTGAGCTTAAGAGTGGCTTAGTGATTTAAACTAGTTCCTGCCGATACTCACCAGTTGAAACCAGACAAATCAGGGGTCGACCTCTGGGAAAGGGAGAAATCGTGCAGAGGTTAGAGACGACACGCTGCAAAACTCAGTAATAAAAAAATGGTTCTTCACTTCCTACGACTGCTAATGTTGGTGTCAGCAGCAGCAAATGGTGGACGGCTGCTACACGCTGACAAATAACACAGGACTAAACAGAACATGCACTTCCATTGCTTGTCACTTGTTTCATTTTGAGTTTTGTGATGAGTGAGGGCCTCTGCGGGTGGATGGTACTCACGGGGACGTAGGGCTGAACCTTCCGACAGGGGAACCATCCCATTTGACCGATAGTCAGGTTTCTTCCCTGAGTGACACACACAGCAGCGAATCACACAGCAGTCATTAGAACACGTGAAGACACTTAGAAGACACTGAGAAACTAGAATGGCATACCTCCGCCCAAGGCCCAACATTCTGCTTTGATTAAATGAAGCCAAATTACACAAACTCGCAGATTTCAGTTCCCTAAATATATTTTTCAAGATATTTTTCATCAAGATTGATGAATTATTTCCTGGGGAATCCGTCTCAAAGTGTTCTTGGTTCTTCCCTGACCTACACCACATCTTTCCCTCATGTTTAATAGTAATTCGTCCTGTAGTTTCTGTTTAATCTTGCTTTTAAAGTGGTATTTATTTGTATATTTATTTATTGTGGCATTTACTACTTGAAAAGTAGTAAATATACACACTACAATCTAGTGTATTAGAAAAAAAGTTGAATCTTATCTGATCTCAGTGTGTGTTTCTCTAACTTTACCTCCCACCACTGCAGGTCAGCCTCAGCGCGGGTCAGCTCAATGATGTCGCCTTTAGACAGTTGAAGCTGTTGGCCGAAGCCCACAGGAGGCGGAGGCAGCCCATAATACTCCTGACATACCTCCATCTTTGGGAATCCTGAGAGCACCGAGGAGAAAGAGGAGACGTTGGGAAGCAGAAGTGTAAAATGTGCCGTCTTAACATTCACATTGTGAGTTCCTTACCAACGCTGGAATGTCCCGAGGACCTCTGTGTTTTATTCTGGAGGAACAAAAGACAAAAGAAGTGGACGAATCAGATCTCAGGTTTTACATATTTGCAGAAGATTCATTTAATAAAAGACATATGATGCTTTTTCAGTGTTTCTTTCCTCTACTGTGTTATACAGGTTTTTGTGTATGTAAAGGCTTTATCAGGAGTGGGGGCCTTAAAGAGACAGGAACTAAAATCAAGTGTTTCAGACAGAGACTGAAAAGAGGAGCTGCAGCAATGGACAGTTGGAGGAACGTGATTTGTGTTTTCTTAACATTAGAGCATGTGAACGTTTTCAAGTTACACCACAAATTAAAACAATGAACCTAACCTAGGACAGAATGTCCCCTTTAAAGAAGAGGCAGCGAATATAATAAAAAAAGAATGTCAAAGATAAAGTTTTACCTTCCTGGTGCCAGTATGATCTGTAATTCCCAGAGGAAAATCATTGTAAAATGTTATAACATTTCAAATCATGATACTGATTATAAACACATCCACATGCATGTATACAGACCGGAGCTTCGTCCACAGGCAGGTACTCTGCCTAAACATTCTTTATGTGCAGCCATTTTACAGCGAGTGCAGCGATATCCCTGGAAAAATATTCCCCTGCAGACGACAGACGGAGAGATTAAGCATCACCTGACAAGTGTTCGTTGTTTTTTTTTCGTTTCTTGGAGCAAAGAGACGAAGGTACCTCAGCAGCATCGAGCAGGCCTTGCAGGAAGTGGTTTCCTCGAAGCAGTGCATCTGGAAGTCGTGGTTGTTGGCTGTGGAGTTCTCTGGACACATATTTGACCTGCAAGGGAAACGAGTCATCACTTACTAGCAGGTAGAGTTAATTTAGCAGCTAAACATATTTACTTCTGCTAGTGTTCTAATGTTTTACAGGATTATTACATCCGCCGAGGAAGTTATGGTTTCACCTCCGTTTGTTTGGAATCAGCAGGATTACGCAAAACTACACTTTCTTGAAACTTGGTAGAAGGACAATATCTGGGGTTGGTGCAGATCTTAATATTTATCTGGATCACGCAGGTTTAAACGAAACGCTGGTAGACTGTATGAAGCCCCAAGTGAAGTGTTGAGTCAGGGGATGATTATCTGCGGGTTTGTCACCATGACAGTTTTAAAACTTTGATGATCTGCGCATGTGCGTGTGTGTTAACTCACAGAGCCATCTGAAACTGTTCCAGCCACTTCTTCTTCAGTTCTCTGGTTTTGAAGAATAAATCGTATCCAGACCTCCCAAAACAGTCAAGCAGGAGGAACAGGTGGGACCACTGCTCTCACACACACACACACACACA